AAACTGATCAATTATTGCAATAGAAAATACAGGAATGAATAAAATTAATTCTTTAGCAAAAATTCATATTGTATAAATATTTTAGCTAAATCCACAATAAGTAATCCTTATTAATACAAACAATTAAATTTAAGATTATTAATTTTTATTTTATGCAAGTAAACTGTAAAGTTACTATTTAAATATAAAACTGTCTGTTTTAACTATGAAAGCAATTAAAGGAAAAGGAAGAATAGGAAGCATTTAATTGCGAAGCACGTGCTCAAAAGTGATTTCAGCTCAACTAATCCTTATGTGATTTTTATTGAATATATTGACAAAAATCTCTTACTTTGATTAATCCTTTTTTTATGATGAACCCTCGGGGATTATTTAGAACATTCGACAACCATATTATAACAATGTGTATCCTGAGTTATTTCATATATTGAATTTATTATAAGCACTATGTCCTTCGAACTGACTATTTATTACACTGTAAATGACGTGTTTACAAACACGTCTGAACACTTAGACAGATTGGAACGGAGTCCCCCTTCTGACGTTATATCATGAACTCGAAATATCTCGATGAACTGACACAGCCTAACGGAGCATTTACACCTTTGGTAAAAAAATTTTTTATTTTTGAATTTTCCGAAATACACAAACCTGATTGGTTGTTCACAATCTGATTGATAATGGACAACCAATCAGATCTTTGCATTTCCGAAAATCAAAATAAAAAATTTTTTTTACCAAAGGTGTAAATGCTCCATAATAGGAAAAGTGCGACTGAGAAAGTTGCCGGCATTAAACTTCGTGTTCTGCAATACGTCTAACTCCAAGTGCAAGGTTGGATTCCATTGTGCCCACTCGCCAAAGTTCTCAGTAAATTTCGTAGTATTTTACGAAAGTCAAGGTGCTTTTATACCTCAAATTTCGATCAGATGAACATTATTTCTGGACCGTGAAAATGCGTGAAAAGTCATTTTCACGGCGGGTATTTTTGAATTGTTTTAAACAAAAAATGTTTTTTTAAGAAATATAATATTAAATAATTGTTTTAATATGTAAGAACACTTTAAAATAGTGATAGGAAGATGATTTGATTGAAAAATTTAGCAAATTTTGCTTTAAAACGTTTTCTGCTACAAGAAAGTATAAAATGACGATGTTTGTGAAATGGTTTGTACAGTGCTTCTTCCTTGTGAGTGTCTCTCAGAGTTTTGTTTATGTTATGTCGTTTCTTTTTAACTTGTAATAAATAATGAGTGCTGAAAATAAATCGGTAAGTTGAAATATTTATCAAATAAATTTAAATTCTACTAATCGTTTCGAATAACTGAAAGAAACATGTACACTGTACAAACCATTTCACAAACATCGTAATTTTACACTTTCTTGTAGCAGAAACTTTTTAAAGCAAAATTTGCTATATTTTTTAATCAAATCATTTTTCTATCACTATTTTAAAGTGTTCTTACATATTAAAACAATTATTTAATATTATATTTCTTAAAAAAACATTTTTTGTTTAAAACAATTCAAAAATACCCGCCGTGAAAATGACTTTTCACGCATTTTCACGGTCCAGAAATAATGTTCATCTGATCGAAATTTGAGGTATAAAAGCACCTTCATTTGCGAATGTTGTTTATAAGATAGAAAAGGATGCAAATATATCTGTCTTTTACTAACTCATGCATCTTTACGGAAGCTTCTACGCGCCACCACAAAACCAAGTTTATGCTCGATTCATTTTAGCCTCGAAAACTAAAGAACCGTTTGTGATTTCGCTGTTTCCATGTTTTTGACGTGAATTGATAGTTATTTATTGTATTAATTTAGAAATAAAATGTCTAAAAAAGAATTCACATGTAATTATATGTCATAATAATTCTAATTCTTTTGTTAAGTAACTTCTAGCTCTTAAGAGTTACAATTTTCTTTTTCTTTTATTTGTAATGAAATCTCGCATTATTCGTAAATTTTATAAATTTAAAAGAATCTCATTTTCAAGTAATGTACATGCGTCTTTTTTTTATTTACAAAACGAAATATATCATGTACTATATATAATAAAAAAATTTTATAAATTGGCTGAAATTCATAAAAAAGACTTTAGCAATTCAGACAGACATTCATTTTTGTAAAAAATTTGTACATTTTATGTGTCAGTGATTGTTGAAAATCAAAAATTTGTTAGTTACATTCAATATTATATTAAGTATTAAAAAACAACATGTTTCAAAATAATTTGGACTGATCCCTCTTTATAAAACTTTGTTTATTTGGAAGCGTTGTTTATCATGCTTATCAAATACCTAAGGCTGTCAAAAAGCAATTTCTTGGCGGGATGACTTTACTTAGAAATAAAAAAACCCCGCACGAAATTACACGATATTTTCTACTCAAAATAAAAGCAAAAACTTTATTTAATTGCGGACATCATAAAATCTTACATAAAATTTAAGAATTGAAATATCAACTTATTTACTTTTATCTATAAATATAACAAAAAAAACAATGTTACACGATTTTTGACAAATTGTCGAATCTGCGAACGACCGAACACCCGAACCACCTCGCGGTTTTTCACGTCAAAAACATGGAAACAGCGAAATCACAAACGGTTCTTTAGTTTTCGAGGCTAAAATGAATCGAGCATAAACTTACGGAAGCCTGTACGGCCCACGAGTAGTGTTCTAAAGACAGTAAATTACGTCAAGAAGAGAAAGAAGATTACGGTAATTTACCGGTAAATTACCGGATCGTTTTTTCTCTGAGAATTTTTACTTGTACTTTTATCCTTGTCTGACACGTGCGTTGTCATGACAACGTGTATGACGAGGATAAAAGTACATACATATGTTCCTGACTGTACAATTGAGCTGCCGGATCAAAGAAGGGCACATAACCCATTTGAATTACATTAGTTATGTGCCCTTCTTTGATCCGGCAGCTCAATTATTATTATAATGAAAAATATCTTTGTTACAATATATAATATATATATATTAATATATTAATATTGATATAATATTACATTATTATATTGAATCAGGTACATTTATATGCCTGCACTTTTATCCTTGTCTAACACACATGTTGCCATGACGACTCACGTGTTAGACAATGATAAAAGTGCAGGCATATATACCCGACTGTCATCTTGTCAGTAAGAACACAGAGAAAATTAGGGTGCAGTCCCATGGAGCAGATTAGACGTTGACCAATAAAAAAACAGTCTCTAACGGAAATGCAAAAATTTGCCGCGAGAGACTAACTTTTGATTGGCTGAAATCTATTCTGCTAATCTGCTCTATGGGACTGCACCCTTACAGTCTATTATATTCATTGTTCAAATTATTCATTTAATAACATGTCGGTCGTTTATTTATAACTTACATACTATAAAAATACATATTTAAATTTAAAAAAGGCAATTATCAATCACTTAAATGAATATTCTCATATATTCTCATAAATTCTCTTTTTTTCGGTAATTTATCGCAATTTTCTTTTTTACCTTCTCAGGTTTCAATTTTACCGAGAATTTTAAAACACTACCCACGAGCGTCTCGGACGCAAGTGGCGGTATTTCGTACCACAAGTGGCTTGAAGTCCGTCTAACTTGTGGCAAGTTCGATAGTTCGTGCCACTTGTTGGACAGACTCCGTGCCACTTGTGGAAAGTGGATTTTTTGAAGGGTCATTCACAAATATGACAATTCCGTTGAATCCTGTTGCTATCTATTTCGTCATTGCTTTTCATTTCAATTTCATGTGAAGAAGAAGAAATGAATTTTATAAGATATTAGTAATATTAGCATATTAGTAAATGTCATCGAACAAACTTTTTATAGTTCACACATAAATACTCCTTCCAAACGTAAATATACATATTAATAAACTAAGGATTCCACTAAGAATTAAGCGGAAGTTTTTTCTTAGTTTTTTTAATTTTTCTTATTTTGAATAAAAATGAATTTGTTATTTTTTAATTGAAAATACATGTAAAAGATTACATTTCAGTGTAAACAAATGATATTGACATCTTAATTAATCTTAAATATTCATAAAAATATACTTTTGATTTTAAAAAATAAAATCCTCTTCATATATTTTAAATTAAAAAATGACAACATAACCAAAAAATCTTATTTTTATTCTAAACTAAGAAAAATTAAAAGAACTAAGAAAAAACTTCCGCTTAATTCTTAGTGGAATCCTTAGTTTATTAATATGAATAACTATCCTTAGTTTATGTGTGAACTATAAAAAGTTTGTTCTATGACATTTACTAATATGCTAATATTACTAATATCTTATAAAATTCATTTCTTTTTCTTTAAGGCCTAAGCAGAATAGCTTTGCGAAAGACGTTCGCGAACGTGAAACATGAGTTAGAAAAAGACAGAGATATATTCGTATCCTTTTCTATCTCATGCATCTCGTTCGCGAACCTATTGTGCGTTGGCCTTCACATGAAATTGAAATGAAAAGCACTGACAGATAGCAACAGGATCCAACGGAATTGTCATATTTGTGAATGACCCTTCAAAAAATCCACTTTCCACAAGTGGCACGGAGTCTGTCCAACAAGTGGCACGAATTAACGAACTTGCCACAAGTTGGACGGACTTCGTGCCACTTGTGGTACGAAACACCGCCACTTGCGTCCGAAACGCTCGTGAGCCATACAGGCTTCCGTATAAACTTGGTTTTGTGGTGGCGCGTAGAAGCTTCCGTACATCTCATTTAAGGCGCCGTCCCATGACAGCGCGAATCTCCAACGTAAAAGCGGAAAACATGAGAACGAAAGAGATAGTGAGATATGTTCATCTCTTTCGTTCTCATGCTTTCCGCTTTAACGCCGGCGTTTCACGTTGTCATGGGACGGGGCCTTTACAAACAATTTTCCTGAAGCTATTGTGCGCTGACCCTATATGTCTTTCTTTCTATCTCTCTCTGCCTCATTGTTTAGCGCAAACGCAGCGTTCGAACGCAGTCATGTAAACACAGTTCAATTATAGTACAAACGTAACCTCAGGAACAAGAAGGTTTATATGATGCTAAATTGTATTATTTTCTAAATGTTTATAAAAAAATGTAATCAAATAAGTGGTGTTGTGTGAAATAGTGCTTTTTACTTTATGTATTAACTTCTTTTGTTCATAAACTCGGACAATTATAAGTTTCAATTTTGGTGAGTTTAATTCCTTTAAAAATAGAACAGGTAATATTGGCGGGTCTTCTCGGCTTGCCTTATAACTTTTAAAATTTGTAAACAATTTTAACTTATGTTTTTCTCAGTTTGCTTAAATAATGCTGTATGTTTTATGCGTTACATATATATATATATATTCTTATTTTTGTTTTTTTAATGTTTAAATAGTGCTATATTGGAGATAAGGTATTGTGAATTTTTTTTTTCAAAATTCTTAAAATTATGCAAAAAAAATTGCAATTCTAAACCCAATTAATACTTTTAAATATTTATTATTTTGAAATCATTAATTATTGCCCGTTAAATAATTTTAAACAGTAATTACCTGTCGAATAATGAAGTATGTATAATATATACATACTAAAAGTTCCAAATGTTTAATATACATAGGATCAGAACATTTTTTAAGTGTAATTGTGATCAAGGAAACATTGAACGGCAGTCAAAACAAATGTTAGTATAACTTCATATTTTTGTGTTTTTTGAAATTAAAATACTATTTTTAACTAAAAAGTTGTCTTAGTAAAGTTTGGTAAATTTTATTCTTAAAACTTTGATTCATCAATAGTTCCATTTAAATAAAGGTAAACTTGTTAACATAAAGAAATGTTTATCAAATTTTAGGTTATGTTACCAAAATAATTTCCTACTGTCAGATAATTGTTATTTTTATTCAAAGCAATGTATTTTTTTCAATTTTGAAATGTAATTGATTCATGAAATCATAGAAATGTTGTGGAATTTTTTATTAAATTATGAAAATTTACTTTTATTTAGTTTCTCCACCTTATACTAAACGCGTATTTTATATTTTACACTGTCCGACAAAAATGTATTTTTTTCTGCCACTAGTATAATTCTTATCACTTTTGATCAATTTTTTTCACGCTGAATATAAAAATCTGCAAATAAAAATGCTCTATAGGCACGTTTAATTTTTGAGAAAAATAGTGTTAAAAGGTTAAAAAAACGTATTTTTTAACCCCTTCGGTGTATATATTGTATATATGGGAGAATTTATTTTGCAATTAATACAACAAATATTTTATTTATTTTGTAATATGTTCACGACCGAACGTTGTGTTTTTCATAGTGAAAGGGTTAAAATATTTTATTTTAAATAAAAATAAAAAAACAAAAGTTTGTCAAGTCGTTAATAGATTCAAATGAGGATTTGAAACTTAAACAGCTGAGGAAAATTTAATGGAATTATGATGAAGCAATTAGAAATAATTTTTTAATTTGCATTTAATTATATCATTTTCTACATTTGAGTAACATAATTAACATTGTAAAACAAGTGATTAATAAATGAATGTCACACCTTTCAAATTAAATTTTTGTTTACGACTTCGAGTTACTTAAATCAATTTATTTTTTAATTAATTATTATTACAAATCTTTTATAAAATTTTAGGTTACTTATCAATTTAATTTGTTATTAATTATTATTTAATATTAAATGAATTAAAAAAATGTTTAGGTCTCACTACACTGAATGTAAAACATGAGGAGTTGGTTTATATTACATTAATTCTAAAACTTTAAAACTTGAACCTCTTTTTATTTTTTTATATTTTTTGTATTTTACATAAAAAAAAATTAATTTTTTAAGAAGGTTGTGATTTTCATATACGAGGTATTTTACGTGTAATGTCCTGAGTTAAAAAATTGATTTCTCGAAAAAAAGTGAAACTTGGGGAAATTGTTGTCCTACCTGATAGTAAAATATCCCCAAAAAAATTTTTGACTTTTTTGAAATTTTGGGGGTGATAGAGAGGGGTCAATTTTATCAGTTTTCCTGACACCGCCTACTGTTTGAATTTTTTCTGTCTATAAATGCAATAAAAAAAATTTTGGCAGGTGTTTTTTGAAGGTTTCTTCATGGTCTTTCCAATGGTGAATTTTGTTTTTTTAAATTTTTGAATTTTGACCTAGATTTTTTATAATTAAACATAAATTTGCTATTTTCACTAAAATCGTTGCTTTTTTTAAAATAAATAATTGCAAACGAAAGCTTAGGTTTTTCCGATCTGTATATAAATTATCAGAATGCCCATTTTTTTTTCTCGAGATATTAAATATCAAAGATTTTATGTCAGCGCGCGCGGCGAGGCGGTCCATTTATACCGCGCCGCGGTAGCTGTTAACACTGGCACGTGCGGACATAAAATTTTTGATATTTAATATCTCGAAAACAAAAAAATCAGCATTCTGAAAATTTACATACAGATCGGAAAGAACCTCAGCTTTCGTTTGCAATTATGTATTTCAAAAAAAGCACCGATTTTAGTGAAAATAGAAAATTTATGTTTAATTATAGAAAATCAAGGTCAAAATCCAAAAATCTACTATCAGGTAGGACAACAATTTCCCCAAGTTTCCCTTTTTTTGGAGAAATCAATTTTTTAACTTAGGACATTACACGTAAAATGCCTCATACGTAAATTCTAATCAAATACAAAATATTAAGTATTATAATACAAAAATCAGAGAAAAATGTTATAATAGGTTAAAAAATGAACATATTTGCGTAAAATTTGAAACTTTACACGGAAAAAAATCAATGGTTGCTACAGCCATACCTTTGGTTGTCTCAACCATATTATATTGAAAAATACGTCCCAACCATACCTCCGGTTGCTCCAGCCATATTAAATAGCTAGCTTTAAATTGTTAGCACAAGTAGAATATATGGCTGTGGGAACCATATATTTGGAAAACATACAAATGCTAATATGGATGTGACAACCATTTTTAATTGATGCTTCGACCATTATTTAGTGTACCATATTAATATTGTTGAAGCAACCATTTTATATGGTTACAATTTATGTTTATTTTATTTGTTTAATATTATCAATAAGGTTATTTTTGATTAATTTAAAACATTGAGTCCCATAAAAACGTATTTATTTTTTTGAAATAATCGCCAAATACAAATTCGTTAACAAAATAAACAATCGTATAGCACCTTTTATTATAGTATTATAATTATAGTGAGTGCCTAAGTGTCGCAAACATTGAAGAATTTTCCCATTTACAAATTATAACTGGGAAAGGTGAATGTAAATTGTTTAAAAGGACGCAGTCAACTTCGAAGCCTATTTTTTTAAGGAAATCAATGCACTCAGCTTCCATTTTTTAACTTAAAAAACACATTAACTGGGATCAATATAATTGTTAAATGATTATAGAAAATGTTTAGGACTGCGGACATATACACGTTTCGCGACGCTTGGAATTAATGCGAGTAATATAGACGTAATATATTGCATCACCGCGCAGACAAGGTGCGCAGGCGTCTATAGGGGCCTTAGCAATTCAAAAATGGATAGGATAACAAAATTGTTAAAATTCAAACCAATATTGTTACCTCAACTAAAGCTATGGTTGATATATCCATATCATAGGTACAAATATTATATGGTTGCCACAACCATTCTTTTTTGTCAATGTATCCATACTGAAAGCTGCTTCAGCTATATGTATGGATGCCTCAACAATATTATGACCAACAATATTTTTATGGTTGGGACAACGATACCTTTTCTTTCCGTGTACTTTTAGACTCTAGTTCTTTATTACCATATAAGTCACTACATTTTTGCCTTTCGTACAAGTCTGTTCGTTGTTCAATTACCATTTTTCTCTTTTGTATTTTGTGAACGTAATAAACCCTCACTTGAGTTATATATCGTGTTTTATATTCTATTGGCATCAGGACCTCTCGTTAACAGCGATAAACCACAAAAAGGATAAAAAAAATTCCTCAAAAATGAAACTTTTTACTAAATTATTATTTAAAATAATATTATATATATGTGTATATAATAAATATATTTGTCCTTTAAAAAATGTAATTCGGTAGATATAAGTCATGCATACAAATATATTAATTTCTAAAAATCTAAAAGAAATTTTAAAAGTATTTTATGATTATATTTATTGTTGTTATAATTATTAAGAGGATTTAAATCACCATGTGATTTAAATCTTATAATAATTAATTGAATTTAAGTATTGGGTCAGTTGGGGTAAATGGGGACAAGAGGTGTTGATGTTGTAGCTTAATTTACAGTTTTAAAATTAAGTTCAACGTCAATATTTTAACCTCAGATTACCTACAAGAGGTTCTGAGTATTGCCAAGCTTTTATCTTGACAATTTGCAACAAGAGAACTTAAGTTATCGCTCCATGGATAAATTAAAAACTTGAAAATCAAAGTGAAACTGTTTCAGTATTTTGTCTCGCATTTCAAAGAAATCAGACTTAAAAATCATACAAAATTTTTTTCTTATTCCTTATGATTTCCATAACAGAAATTCACTTGAATTTTTCATTTTTGTTAATTTGTTTAATAATAACAAGCTGTCCCCATTTACACAGAGTTTTCAAATTCTTAGGGTAAATGGGGACAGCTTGTTATTACACGGAAAAAAAAATTTCGTAAGAATTACCGAATTTGTACTGAAATCGAGGATTTGTGCAAACAACCATAACTTTTCAGGAATATTACGTAAAATCTATCTAACTGTTCTGAAAGAATTCCGGAACTGTATCTGTAAGTCTTTAAACTTATCAATAAAAATGAATTCCTGAAAAAGTCTAGAACTATTTCATAATATTTGAGGAATTCTCCCGTAGAAATTACGTTTCTTGTGCCGGAATATTTACAATCACCTTATTCGGAATACCTACGTTTACAATTCCGGAAGAATTCCCGAACTCTGCCGTAAGAAAGATATGCGCACAAACTCCGCGCTCACGTTTCAATAGTGTATATTTGTGTGTATGTGAACATGAGGAAGCAGAGTTAGGATTATGTATATATCAAATTTTTCACGATTGCATACTGAATTTGCCTTAAGAAAATCTATAAATTTTTATAAATCAACAACTAATGCGTGGAATTAATTTTCTTCATGTTCATTAATGTTTATTGGTACGAAAATTAATTTGAAAGTATTATTTTCTTT